CCTGCCTTCGTGTCAGCTGGGAATAAAACCTGCCTCCCCCTGGGACTGTAGGGTAGGCTCATTCACCCTTGTCTTTTTACTCTTGGGTAATCTCTCAAGCCAGGGGTTTCCTAAACTGAGCAGCAGGTGTCTGGCTGGGGTCTTGTCTCCAAAAGCCAAGCTTGGTGGGCTCTCAGCCAGCCTCCAAATGCCATGGCTGGCCCAGGAGCACCTGTCCCTATCCCTGGCCAGCCCCACCCAGGGCCTGCAGCACTGGAAACCCCCGGGCCACACTCCACACCTGAGTCCTGTCTTCACTTTGCCTTCTCCCCAGGTGCCCTCAGTAGTCCCATCCCAGCGAAGAGCTGCTGGGCCAGATGGTCATGGGGGAGCCCAGGAGAGAGGAGTATAAAATCCAGTCGTTTGATGCAGAGACCCAGCAGCTGCTGAAGACAGCACTCAAAGGTGAGCAGGGGAGCCCCTCCCGAGAAGGGCCGGGCCGGGGCAGGACCAGAGGGCCTGAACTGAAGGCGCACAGCCTCCGTCCAGGGGTCAGGGGACAGCCCAGCCCTCTGCCTTCACCTGCTGAGAACAAGAGTCAGCAATGTAACTCCTGAACGGGAAGACAAGCTACTTGTAGGCCAGTGTTTGGGAGTATGAATCATAGACTCGACTTTCAAACTGCAAAGCCTTTTTTAGAAAGTACCCATGGAAGGTGGGTAGGGCACAGAGAACACATAGTTCTTGCCCTTTAAGTCCTTACATTTGAGGTCGTCGTTTCTGCATGCCTGCAGCCAGCTCTTAGATGTGGAGAGCTGCCTGACTTGGGACAGAGGATGATGTATTCTGCTTGGCAGCAGAGACATAGTTCAACTCCTGTGTTAGACTCAGCTAACAATTAGCAATGCCCATCATGTGCCAAGCACTGGGCTAGGCCTGTGGGGGAGGCATTACACAGCTGCTCTTACCGGGGTTCATGTGTGTGGAATTGCTGTTGAAGACATCGCTATTCAGCGTCCCTTGTAAAATGAACATGGAATTCCTTCCTCAGCCTAGTGTCAGGAAAAGATATGTGTCCCAAAAAACTAGTGTAGAAAAACCACATAACCCTTCCAGGTTTTTCTTTGATTGGGCAACCAGGAAGCTCAAAGCTAGAGCTCAACCTCGGTATCTGCTTCTATGTATACTCCCTGTCCCCCTCTCTGTATGTTTTCAGAACTCTTTAAATTTAAGCATATACAGTCATACCCGACTTAGGACTTATTTCAGTTATGGCGAACTACCTTTTTTTTTTTTTTTTACATCTTATCTTCAGTAATTTGCACCACATACAGTGTTGCAGCACATAACTTGCTGATGTTATCATTCTCTTATTATTCTCATGCCAACCCCCAAAGACAAAGATCAGATTTATAAAGATACTGATAATAAAAGGTAATAATAATGAAAACCAAAAAAAAAAAATGAGATATCCGACTTACATCAGAACCAACTTACGAAGGAGCTGTCTGAGCGGAACCCCATCATCAGTCGGGGGCCACCTGGAATGGGTGTGCTCTCCTGTAAACTTCTCGCATCCTTTTCAGAGGCAGGTGGAGGTGACTATGATAAATAAGCAGAGGTTGCTGAGTCCGACTCACGGCACCCAACAAGAACAGACAACCCTCCTCTCTGCCCCCAGATCCAGGTGCTGTGGACTTGGACAAAGTGGCCAATGTGATTGTGGACCATTCCCTGCAGGACTGTGTGTTCAGCAAGGAAGCAGGACGCATGTGCTACGCCATCATCCAGGTTGGGTGGTAGTGGGAAAGGGGAGATGCTTTGGGGAAGGTGCTCCAGGAGTGGGCAGAAGCCTGGTCGGCACGGCAGCGAGACAGAAGCAAAGAAGGGCAGGTGGGCCCTCAGCTGAGGGCGCTTGGGTGGTGGCTGGGATGGCACCTCCTCCTGCTGCTCACCAGCCTTTCGCTGGCTCGCAGGCAGAGAGCAAGCAAGCAGGCCAGAGTGTCTTCCGTCGTGGACTCCTCAACCGGCTGCAGCAGGAGTACCAGGCTCGGGAGCAGCTGCGGGCCCGCTCCCTGCAGGGCTGGGTCTGCTATGTCACCTTCATCTGCAACGTCTTTGACTACCTGAGGGTGAGGCCCCAGCAGCCACCCTGGATGGCAGACAGCCTGCCTCCCAAAGCCCAGGCTGGCCTGCTTCCCACTGCCACTCAGCCCGGTGCTCTGGTCCTCTTTCTCCCCCAGGTGAACAACATGCCCATGATGGCCCTAGTGAACCCTGTCTACGATTGCCTCTTCCGGCTGGCCCAGCCCGACAGCCTGAGCAAGGAGGAGGAGGTGGGTGGCCTGACACAGGGCTGCGGAGGTGGGCAGTCTGGCTTAGCTCAGAGGGCCAGCCCACTGTCCATGGAGGTTTTTGAGGGCACCACTTCCTGGGGCAGGTGCCTAGCGGGGGCATTCAAGGCCTGTCACAGTGCCAGGTATAGAATTTATCCAAAACACACAGCAGCCAAAGCTTCTGGCTCAGAGACTTCCTTCCCAGAAGGCAAGCTGACCTGTGGTAGGCACAGTGAGAGCTACGGCCAGCTGTGGATGCCACTGGCCTGGAAACCAAACCAGGGGAGGTAGAAAAGTGAGGCGGTTAAGAAGCTCTTTGTCCAGCCCGGCCCAGATGAGCCTTCACCAACTCCGAGCTTGTTTCCTTCCATGTGCGTTGTGGGCAGGACCCACCGGGTGGCATGAGAGTGAAGCCAGACAGCACGAAGGGCACAGCGCGCACCTGGTGCTCAGCCAGCACCGTCTTGGGCTGCCCTGTGGAATGCGCAGCCCTGCTCGGGTCTCACCTCCCCCTGCCCTGCAGGTGGACTGCTTGGTGCTGCAGCTGCACCGGGTCGGGGAGCAGCTGGAGAAGATGAACGGGCAACGCATGGACGAGCTCTTTGTCCTGATCAGGGATGGCTTCCTGCTCCCAACAGGCCTCAGCTCCCTGGCCCAGCTGCTGCTGCTGGAGATCATCGAGTTCCGGGCAGCCGGCTGGAAGACCACCCCAGCAGCCCAGAAGTATTACTATAGCGAGGTCTCTGACTAGGCCTCCAGCTCTTCTTCCCCCCACCTCCCAACCTGGCCAGGAAGTCATCACCTCCCCCAAGACTTTCCCTTCTAGACTTTCAGCATCTCCCGAGTTGTTTCCCACCTATGCTGTGCTCCGGCCCTGAGCACCTGCCCTCCCCTACTCAGGTCAGGAAGACGCCAAACAGGCCTGATCTCCCAGGCTGGAGCCTGCTGACAGTCTTCCATCCCCCACTGCAGCCCGTCAGCCCCTGCCCCCACCACCGTCCACCTTGGCCACGCACAGAGGGCAGCTCCTACCAGCCACTGCACTATGTAACCATGGGGGCAACAGCTACCTTGGTGCCTCAGTTTCCTCATCTGTAAACACTGGTGGGATGCTTTGGGATGTCAAGGGCAGAGACCAGAGCACAAGCCACAGCAAAAATGGATTTTTATACATTTTATATGAGGACCACTTTGGAAAAAAGCCTATTTTCTCCAGTTGGTTTCAACGAATAGATGTACTGTATCACATGCTGCACCAGTTCAGGTGAGAATTTTCTAATAAACCTTTTCTAACACTAAAACTGCTTCCTTTTCATATCAGCCAAAGGTCCACTCCAAGCTGAGAAAAGAGGAAGCTGGATTAGCCCTGAGTTCCTTGGGGGAAATCCCCAAGTCAGCCTGTTCCCCCTTGGCAAGGAGACGGGCTAAGGGGGCAAGTTCTAGCCCCCAAGTAAAGGATTAATGAGCAACAAGCATGCTGTCCCATCCTTGTGAGGCTTGCCCTTACAAAGGAGCTGTATGCTTATCCACAGGGACTTTTCAACGTGCCTCCCTCTTTCCTCGACTAGGATAGAGAGGGTGGGCTGAGTTTTGTGATGCCTGGGGGAATGGCAGTGATTGACTTCGCAGGGTAGAGGAGCCTTGACCCTCCCTCTACCACCAGCGGTAGTGGGCCAGGGCACGGTTGGCCTCGGCCATCTTGTGCATGTCGTGTTTCCTCTTGATCACGGGGCCCTGGTTGTGGAAAGCCTGTAGCAGCTCATGTGACAGCTTCTCTGGCATCAGCATCCGCCGGTGCTTCTTCTCCCGGCACTCAGTAATCATCCACTTCATGGCCAGGAAGCGGCGACGCCGGTCGGCTAGGGGCACAGGGACCTGGGTGAGATAGGACACTGGCAAGTTGGTCTTAGGGCCGGCCAGGACTGGGGCGTCTGCCTTCCTGAGGTCTAGAAGCAGCCACAGGTTCTCTCTGGGCCAGCCCTGCTAAGGCTCCTGGGGCAAGGGGGGCCTGATCTTTTTCTAACTGAGCTCCTGGCAGCCCTGGGTAACCTTGGTGTGGCAGACACAGGGGCATTCATTCAGCAAACACATTAAGCATGACTCCTTTTCCTCCTAAATGGAAGCTCTGCCATGTGGGCACAGCACTGACTGGGAAAAGTCCCTCTAGCTGGGGTGACTCAGCCACCTCAGAGCATGGGTGCTTAAAAATAAGACACTCTATCCAAGACTCGTTTGCCAGACCCCCACTAGTGCCGGATGCCATGCCAGACAGTGGGGATGCAGACATAAATGAGGAAGTTCCTCCCTTTACAGAGTTTACATTGAAAAGAGGAAGACAAGAAAACCCGCTAACAACAGCGGAATACAATTAAACACCATGAGAGAGGCACCTAGTTTGGTTCAACAAACGATGATGGAGCATCAGCTATGGATCAAGTGCTATGCCAGACGCTGGCATACAGCGATGGAGTATAAACATGGTCCCTCACCTTAAGAAGCTTACAGTTTAGGACGCAGGATGCTGGACAGAAGGGGGTGGGGGTGCAGGCTTCTGAACAGGCTATTTGGGTACTTCTTTGCTCTCTTCCTCCCCATCTCCTGCCTGGGATTTTCACACTACAGACTCAGAGGAGCAGATCCTGACAGTCCCTGGTACCTAGAGAGCTATCAATCCTGGCCCAACTCAGGGGCCCTAACACTCCCAAGGACCTCCCTCTTATTTCACACATGGGCACGGGCACCCCTGCTTTCCTGGCCTGACCATTTGCTTCCACTCACCTGGTAGAAATGGCCGCCCTTGAGAATGGGTACCAGACCAATGACAGGCTCACAGTTTTTGAGAGCCTGGTGGAAGATGGTGTAGGGGTTGCGTTCAATGGTTGCCTGCTCCTCTGCAGAAGCAGCGTGGTACTTCTCAAACTGCTTCCTTTTCACAGCTTCCAGGGTCTGCAGTGGGATACAGTAAAAGAGGCTGCCCCAGGCTCCTCAAGGGGGGTAGCAAGTGCCTTACCCTTTTCTCCCATCATCCCATTTTCTGTGGCAGTGTAGCTCCTCCCTCAGCACACGCAAAACAAAGTTCCTAAGTGCCTTCTCTTTTCCTGGACTAGGACAGAAGGGTTGAGCTGAGCTTTGCAATGTGTGAAGGAATGGCAGCTGTTGACTCCACGGGACTTCATTTAAGCCCCCTCCCCACATACATCTAGAGAAGTTAAAGACGTGTTATGAAACTAGTCTCTTTCAAGCTAAATTGAAAGAACCAAGCGCAAAGCTATAGGAAAAACAGATGACACATGAGGACAGTCCTGCTTACCTGTATCATCAGGTTCCTGGCCAGCACTTTGTTTCCTCCTTTCATCATCATGTTGGTGAATTTACTTCAAAGAGAAAAGCAACATGTTTAGCTTTCCAAGGCTGTATGACAAAAACCTTACCGTAGACCCTCCGGAGGATAGTCTCCACCCGGAGAACAAAAGCGTTTGTTTCTATCTAACCTGACCACTGGGTCTTCAAACACAGAGCTTGTTTTTGTCGCTGGGGCAGCTTTAATGAGCTGAGTCTTCCTGAGCTCCCGCTCATACTTTTCCTCCTCAGTCAGCTTGGCCATGGGCTTGCGGTAATATTCCCCGTCAATCCGGGGATCCTGGTACTCAGGGCCATAGCGGCTCCACCTCACCTGGGTTAGCCTGGGGGGAGGAGGGGGAGAGGGGAGGCTGACTCCACAAGTGAATAAACCTGACTTAACAATAGGCATGTTTCCCAACCCGCCAACGACAGCGTCGCGGAGACCGCTAGCTAAACCTGAACCGCAATAAATCTGGCTCTCATTCCGTGGGAAGACCTCCCCCAAACAAGCCAGCAAAGTCTCCTCGTTGTCAAGAACAAACGGTAGGACAGGTTCCTCGCCTGTGTATCTCTCCCCCACCTCCAAACACATAGGAGATCCCAGTTCCGAGTTATTTAGCAGAGCCGCACTTTCAGATCCGAGTTAGATCACTAGATCTCCCCGACCCTCGAGCGGGAGCAGTAACTAAGCCTTCAGTAATGGCCCAAGGTCAAGTAGCTAGTCATAGGCTTGAACCCAGATATCCCGGCCCCCAGGGCACTGCTCTCTCCAGGGCCCCACACAGCCTGCCTGTGGCCACCTTCCTTCCCCCACGGGCCCCTCCGTGAGGATCCAAGTGCCTCCCCACCACAGCTGTCCATTGCCCGCTCACCCTGGAAGCCGCAGGACAACACCTCGCACACCCAAGGCCAAGCCCGACCACCCTCGCACAGCCTTCACTGAGGGAGCAGCCATCTTGGCTGGCCACGAGGACCCGACGGTGACTGCCCTCGGCGTGCCTGAGCGAGTGACGAGGGAGTGGCTGGAGATGGCAAACAGACCCCACAGGGTCCTAAATCTGGGCGTTAGAGTCTCTCACTCCAAGGTTCACAGGAAAGAACCAAAAGCAGACCCTCGCCCTCCCAATCCGCGTCGTAGTCTGGCGCTACCCTCGGTAGCTGCGCCCGCTCCTTTCAGGCCCCCTGCAGGTCACACTCCGGCTCGTCTCTTGCAGGCTCTCGCGAGGTTTGAGGGCGCAGGGCTGGCCCGGGCGGCTGCAATATGGCGGAGGCGGAAGGGGAGAGCTTGGAGTCCTGGCTGAGTGAGTAGCCGCGGCCGCTTCTGCCTGTCCCTGAGCCGCCGAGCTGCCCTGCTCTGCGCTCCTGCGCCCCCTCCCCGGGCTCTGCGGCAGCGCCGTCTGGCAGCCCGCGCCTGGGTTCGCTCCTGTCGCGGGCGTTCCGCGATCACACCCCTTCCCCTGCCGGGCGTTCTGGCGCCCGCCTCTCCCTGCTCCCTTTGCTTCCGCGCGCAGCGGCAGGAGCTTGGGGACCTGTCGGGTCCTCGCAAGCTCGGGGAACGCTACAGCTTAGTTCTCCGGGTTGACATGCGTCGGAGCTTTGGGAAAGATGGTGGTGGGGCCTCGCCGGCCTGACTCCGGGACCCCTGCGCCTCAGTCCCTGACGGAGGGAAGAGCTCCGGATTTGGGCGGAAACTCCGGGAGTGGTGGGTGCTGCTGACCATGCTGACACGCCTGGCAGTTTCCGAATTGTGACCATGTATTTGAGGAAAAGTGACCGCTTCGCCCAGGCAGAATGTTTGAAGTGAGCATAATTTTCCAAAGACAGCGATGGTAGTTCCTTAGCCTAAAGCATGAGTCTTGATAGACTGGGGAACAGAGCTCTCTGCCTTTTCTCCTGCAGTGACCAAAGCATGGTGAAATCTGTACCCCCCCACCCCCCGAACATCTTAACGAGTCAAGAATTCTGTACAGGTTCAGGGGCACCGTCTGATGCTGCAGTTAGAGTTTGCTATGAAGGAAATATGCGCTAACCTTGGTAGTAGGTAGGACTTTGCTGAAGGCTTAGTAAGTGCACTTTGCTATAGGCCAGATCCTCTGGAGCCTTCTTTCAGTGGATGACTGGATACAGCCTCGTGCAAGGATCCCTTATTTAGTAGTGCCTCTAGGCTCTTGTAGGTGATGGCTGTTTCCTCCAATAGCCTGACCTTTTCTAAACAAGAGACCCCTTCAGGAGGGTGAACCTAGGTTTACAAGGGGTGCATCCTAGAAGAGAGAACACGTCAAATTGCATTTGCAAAACCTGCAGTTGCAGGCAGGTCACAAAGCCACCTATATATGTGGAACTGTTCTCCAAGGAGCTCAAATTGCTTGGCAGGCGTTCTTTAAATTCATTTACCAAGTATCCTAGGGAAGCAGGTCCTACTGCCACCATTTCACAAAAGGAGGACGCCTTGACTCCAATCAGACATCCTGCCTGGAGCCACCCAACTGGGTATAATCACACCGGAATTGACTCAGTTCACAGATATTAACAGGGTTAGTGGAGTAATTTAAGTGACCTAATGAGTTTAATAGGAGCCCTGGTGGAGCAGTGGTTAAGCGCTCGGCTGCTAACTGAAAGGTCGGCAGTTTGAACCCACCAGCCATTCCAATCCCCCAGCTTCTCCACGGGAGAAAGATGTGGCAGTCTGCTTCCATAAAGATCACAGCCTTGGAAACCCTATGGGGCAGTTTTACTCTGTTCTGTAGGGTTGCTATGAGTCAGAATCGACTTGACGATAATGGGAATGAGTTTAATAGGCTAGATTTGTTTAGAGTTCACATATATGTATTTTTTAATATTTTACTTAGTGTTGGTGGCAATACTGTATACACAACCATACATCCATTTATGATTTCTTCATGAACAGTTCAGTAACGTTGGTTCATACTTCACACTGTGTCACCATTCTCACTAACTCTACGCAGATTGTCTCATCGTCATTAACGTAGGTTCTCTGCCCCTTAAAGTTCTCATCTGTGCTTCAGGTTAACTGTGTCAGATTAAGCTCATACAGATAATTCTTTATAAGAGGCAGACATTCTTTTATTAGTTGAGCTAAACTGTTGTTTAGTTTAACAATGGCTTCACGGGATAGTTTTGGTTCAAGGTTTAAAGACTATTTCTGGGCATTAGATTTGGGGGTTAGAGTTACATTTTAAAATAGAAGAGGAACAGACCTGGTTTTGAGGTGAGTAGAGATGTTGAGGGCAAATGAGATGGTGTCTGTAGAGACCAGATCAGCCTAGCCATTGACCCTTTCTTATTAAAGAGTTAAGTTTAGGGCAGTGGTAAGACTCCTTCAACCCTTAACCTCTGTTCACCTTTACAGTTCTTCTGACTTAATGGTGTGCACTGTACCAGTTGAACAAACCAGTGTTTGGGGTTCACCGCCATCTTAGTCTAGGTCCTTGTCACCCCTTGGTTTGCCTGAATTATTGCAGAAGCCTCTATTGAGCCCAGTGTCTCCAGTCTATCCTCTCTGCTCCTCAGTGCATTCTACATTCTGCTCCCAGAAAAGCATTTCTAAAACTGTTGAGTCAAGTCATTCCCACTGCTGCCGGACCTGCCCCCTGTGTCACCCTCTGTCATCTGGTCCTGGACCTTCCCTGCCTCCTCCCCTGTGGCTTCCAGATACTCTTCCCTGCTTTGGTCAGTCTGATGTTCTTGTCCCACCAACACACGTTTTTCATCCCTGGAATGCCCTGCACCCTTTCGCGCAACTAAATGCTTCAAGACCCATTCCAGATTCTCCTTCCTAGGAGCCATCTCTCGGTGACGTCAGCCTCCTCTGAAGTCCCATCATTACCAAGTCAGTCCGTAAATATTTAACGAGTACCTGTTTAGTGAGGTGTTATGAGACCAAAACTTCAAGTTCAAGTGGTCTTTGCCTTCAGTTTGATGGATACAGTGCAGGAGTGGGTGAAGATTTCTTAAATAAAAGGATAAACATACAAGGCAGTAGCCCTGAGTGCCAAAATGCAGGCAGTTTCTTTAGAAAATTGGAGATACGGTAAGTGAAAGATGATTCTCTCTTATTGTTCAGCAAGGAGATGACCTCAGAGCTAGGCCTTCAAGAATGCCAAAAATTCGCTAAGACCTCACCAGACGGTTGTGTGTAGGGAGCAGGCCGTGTTTGGGGCAAACAGTAAGAGAGGTGTTTGGCTCCTGCAAGCAGAGAGTTCCTGTGGGGGCACTGTGGGAGATAAAGCTGCCAAGTTAGGACCACATTCTGGAAAGCCTTGATTCCAGCCTCAGAAGTTTACATTTCTGCAGTTATCAGTTATTCCTACTGTACCTGATAAAATCAGTGTTTTAGGAGGATTGATAAAGGGGTTTTTGTAAAAATGGAGACAGTGTCTGACCTCCTCTAACTTCATGAGGGAGAAGGAGAATCAAGATCAATAGCCCAAGACTGATTCCTATGAGGTGCAGGTCAGACATACCTCCTCTCTCCAACTTTTTTTTACCAATTCTGACACCAGCTATCCCCCCCATGGCACTCTCTCCTTCGCTGCTGGGTTTGTTAATTTGTTACAATGGCCCCATAGAACTCACAGACCATACACACAGTAATGGGGTTTATTAGGGAAGTAACAGGTTACAATTCAGGATCACGAATGATTCAGGATACAGCTCTTCAGTCAGGACACCTTCTCAGCAGTCAGGACACCTTCTCGGCCATGCTTACAGGCAGGCCTCTCCCTGGCCCTTGGCCTCTCAGCTTCTTGGCCTGGCTTCTTCCCTGCATGGGCAAGTGTTACAAAGCTCTTTAGCTCCACCAGTAAGTGCCCAGGGGCACCTCACTCCGCCAGGAAGCCTCCTGCCCGAAGGCACTCAGCTCTTGCTCCATGGGTCAGCACACCCACTGTAGCTGCCTTGCTCCGTGGGCCAGGAAGCCAACTGTGTTGTCTCACACTGGTCTCCTGGTTCTACTCCTGCTCATTCTCTGCTGCTGCTTTTCACCGTCTGGTGCTTTCTCCAGTGTTACAGCTCTCTTGTCTCCTGGGTCTAGGAGATTGTCAGTGCAGGGACCCCGGGTCCAAAGGACACAGTGCACTCCTGGTTATTCTTTCTTGGTGATAGTGAGGTTCCCTCTTTCCATCTCTGGGATGCCTCATTTAAGCCTAGTGGGATGGCAAAACTGACCAATCCCCTCATTAGGGTTTCATACACCTTGTTTGCATGGTCCCACCCCAACAAGGGTGCCATGTACCTCATTTGCGTTGTCAGCAAGCTGTCCAATCCCCTTGATGGGCCACACTCACCTTGTTTGCTTAGTCCCACCCAATCATTTGGTAAGAGAAGACCATGGCGAGAAAGGCCATATAAAAATGATCCATCGCACCAAAGTTCAATATAGGATGGATTGGAACAGAAGTTCTAGAAGCAGGTGAGAAGTCAGGAGGTAGGGTGGGGGCAGGGACAAGAAAGGAGGGAAATGATTTAAAAAGCCACTAAGAAGGAAGGGACTATAGGACTGATGGAAATGAGTGGGGAGAGGGGGGAGGAGCCAAGGATGGGGTTTCAAATCTGGGTGCCTGGGGATGGGACCAAAAGGGGCTCATGAATGATAGTCCCATTTATAGAAATAGAAGAGTCAAAAAGGAGAAGAGATTCATTTGGTTTTAGACTTGTTTCTTTACCAAATTAGCACTTAAAATTGTATACTGTCTAGTTTAATGCGCCAGTTATTTGTCATGTGCACCAGAAGAGCATCACCTCTTCAAGGATAAGAGCTGTGTCTTGGCCTTTTTTTGTAGTTCTCCACCCCACCCCCGGTGCTTGGCAGGCTGTGTGCTTGGTTTCCTATGGGTGCTTAGCAAAGACTTGAGGATTCACAAAGTCTCCCTTTTGATTCAAGACCCTCGCACTGAAGGTTGACTCTTTATTCCCTCCCCAGCTCATGTTCTTGCCTCTGCTTATTTCTAAGTCATTGGCTGCATAGAATGTTCATCTCTGAAATGTTTGAGTCATGCTGGAATGGGGTAGCAAGTGCCCCTGCTTCCATCACTCCTTGGCCCGTGTAGGTCCCACGAAGTTCAAGACTGGCACTAGAATTGAGCTGAGAATGAGAGCATGAAAGCCAGAGGCTCAGACACAGAAAAGAGCCAGGCTTTCAACAGAGACCCGAAAATCATCAGAAACCATGAGTTAGAGCAGAGCCCAGAGAAGCAGGGTTTGTAGAGAAGAACCTGGTGGCACCTCGTGCCAGGTAAAGGAGGAAGTTGAGTGGGTGGAAGGGTATGTTCATCTGGTGGGGAGGCGGCATGCAGATGGAGAGACAGAGTCACCCAGAATTATCCCCAGAGGTTTCTCCCAGTTCCCATAGGTGACTGTGGTCTGTCTGCTAAGCTGACTGTAGAGCTGGAAGAGAACTCGGAAGTGGGGCCAACCATCACTAAAACCAGGGCTTTTGGTGCCCACGTATTCTGCACTCAGAGATGAATCAAGGGGAGAGAAAGTGGGATTCTAGAAAAGTTGAACATAACTTGAAAGGTAGGAGGGAGTACTCTTGGAAGCAGCAATGCTAGAGGAGGTATCCCAGGCTTGGGAAGATTACTGCTGACCATACTGAGTGCCAAGCGCCTGGTGCTTATGTGTGTGTGGAGGAGGGGTGTGGTGCAGTGAATTACTTAATGTGGCCCTGCTAGCCATAGTCTTTGTGACTCCCACATAATGACTAGATGAGACTATGCAAATAAGATGCTTGTGGCCCACCAAGGGGATTGGACGGCTTGCTGCTAATGCAAATAAGGTGCATAGAACCCTTGTGGGGGTGACACCGTGCGAATAAAGTATATGGAACTCTAACGAGGGGATTGGTCAATTTAGCCATCCCACTAGGCTTAACGGGAGACAAGGAAAGAGAAAGGCAAGTAACAACGTATAACTCGGGATGAGAAACGAGTCAGGATACAGTTCTTCGATCAGGACATCTGCTTCTCAGCCATGCTCGCAGGCAGGCCTCTCTCTGGCTCTCAGCCTCTCAGCCTCTCAGCCTCACCTCAGCCCTGCTCGGTCAAGTGTTACAAAGCTCCTAGCTCCATGGGTAAGCAAGCCCCACCCCGGCCATCTCACGCCAGTCTCCTGGTTCCTGCCGTCTTGTGCCACTATCGCTCTTGCTTCTGCTGCACTGCCATCTCTCGCAGTCTTCTGTGTTACAGCTTCTCCCATGCTCTCTCCATCTCCTGGGTCTAGCAGGTTCTCCGCACAGAGACCCTGGGTCCAAAGGATGTGCTCCCTCCCAGCTCTTATTTCTTGGTAGTAGTAGGTCCCTCTCTGATCTGTGATTGACTGCTCTTTTAAGCCTAGTAGGATGGCAGACTGACCAATCCCCTTGTTAGGGTTCCATACACCTTATTTGCATGGCCTGACCCCCACAAGGGTGTCATGCACCTTATTTGTGTTAGTACTAAGCCGTCTGATCCCTTTGGTGGGCCACAAGCACCTTATTTACATAGTCCCACCCAATCATTGTGTGGTAGTTGCAAAGACTGTGGCTAGAAGGGCCATTTTAAGTAATTCACTGCCAGGGAGTGGGGCTCACATGTTGCTCTGTATTGGGAAGATGGCTCTCCAGCCGTGAGCAGTGGAAGAGTGAGCTAGTTTTCCTCGTGCCTTGAAGTATGTGACTCTTCTTAAAGTGGTCACAGCGATGGGGGTGGGGGTGGCTCCTCAGATGATCTTTAAAGATCTCAGATGACAGAGGTTAGTAACAAAGCTCT